TGACTTTTTATATGTGTCCCTACCATTGATTTACTTGTGAACATCGGTAAGTTAGGGGCAGTTTGCAAAAAAAAAAAAAAAAAAAAAAAATTTTGCAAAAAAAAAAAAAAAAAAACAAAACCAAAACACTCCCTCATCAGTCTTTTCTTTGATACTTTGATTTGATAGGGTGATAAACAAATAATTTTTTTATGGGGTCTAACCTGGCAGATAAACACTACAACAAGGATACCAGCCGGGAAAAAATGATGGGTGGGAGGGAAATATATAATGCTTATATCAGGCGTAGCCTGAGATTTAACTTGGCCTGGTCATTACTAGGCTCTATGAAAGGAACATGTTTTGGCAGAGTCTACTCTCAATGTATCATCATAAAAATTATAAATAGTGTAGCCTAATACTGAATAACAAATTGTAGTTATTTAAACAGTGGATGAACAATGCAAATTATAAATTACATACCCAAATTATTTATACAAGTAACAATAATTGATAAAATTAATAATTTTATTTTACTTATCATTGTTTAGCCAGTTCATAGTTTGCTGAACAAATTATACGGACAAGTAATATAATTCACACATGAGCAGTAAATTATTTTAGCAATTAAAAAAAAATTCAGACTCCAACTCATTGAAAAACTGAAAGAGAAACTAATAATTAATTATAAAAACTTTATAGGCATACAAATTTTATGACTATGTGATGCAGTATTTGAAAAATATTTTATTGTATTACAATTTACTATAAGCAGAATTTGTTTTATTTTGTTTCAGAAGTACTGGAAACTTATCGATAGATGATGAAACAATGCGAACACCTACTGCATAACATTGAAGTTGTAGTAGTTGCTGATAAAGTAGAGGGAACCCCACAAAAGACAAGAAATTCCCCCAAGTTTACCACTAAAAAGGAAAATGGTGAAAACCAAATATGTGAATTCTAAAATAGTGAAGTATGTGACAGCAAAGAAGGAAAAAGATCCATTGGCCAGCTTTTTGAGTCTAGAAAACAAACTGTGCACAGACTTCCAAGTCCAAGTCAAAAATTAGTAATATTTCATTTCTTAGGTACGAGCGCCAAGGATATGCCAATAAGTGAACTTAATTGCTATCCTACATGGCATAACCATTAAACGACCGGACTGAATGAAGCAGTACACCGGGGTAACCCCTACTCTTCTCTGAGGA